CCCCTCCGTGAACTAACGCGGACTCTCTCCGATGTTGGATCGTCTCCCTAATCGCTTACTGGAAACGCGGAATGATTTGGAGGAAGCGGGAGGAGGAGGAGGCGGCGTCAACACGCGCGACGGTGACGAGATGCTGGAGGGGCAGGGGGGCAGGGGCAGGGGGGGAGGGGCAGAGGGGCAGGGGGAGAGGTCAGATCGACTCGGCTAGAGCCGTCCTTTCAATCCGCTGAGCAGTCGAGGCAATTGCCCCCTGCCGCTGTGCCCACCACGGTAGCGATATGTTAACTACCTCGCCAGGTATACAGGAGGGCGTGGGCTTCGATCCCCGACCCTGACGACGCTTGCTGGAATGTTTGGAGTTTGCTCGCGTGGATTTTACTCCGGGTCCTCCGGGTTTTCCCTCCGCCAATTAGAATCAACATCACGCGTTTGGAGTATTTTTGAGCTGCTGTACATTTGTAGCCGGTTCGCTTCTGAAAAAGAGCTTATATAGCTCAGTGGGCCTTATGTAGGAAAGTAAAATAAAAAGTAATGTAGTTTAGTTTAAAGGCGAGATGATAAGACGGCTTGCTGCATCCAAATGCCCAGTTGTGTCCCCTTCATGAAACCTTCTCCAGATGCGTTCCAATTTTAGACTCGCGTCAAACATGGGAGGCCATTTTTATTGATGGATACAATCAATTCAGTGCCACTGCTAAACAAAAAAAATACTGATATACACGCGGTTATCCCCAGAAGATAAACGCGGAGAGTAATACGATTACATTAATGGCACTTCCAGCTTGTGCCTCAAATCCTGACTTGCACAGAAGGCACCACGGCAAAATTGTGGCCTCCACCTCTGCTCCGTCTAGATGGGATATAGTGTTTCCCCCTCGCACGCGTGGGTTTCCTTCAAGTGCTCCGGTTTTTCCTCCCACAAGCGAACACTCATTGATTGGCCGATGCCTTCTTTCCATGTCGAGGACAGCAGACCTCGGGCAATTGTTTGCCGCGTGGCTGTTGCCCTTCACGCTCGTCCGTGGTTCCTCCCCCCGCCCCTCGAGTCGTGCTCTCGCTCCCTCTCTCTCTCTTTGGGGAGAGCGAGCGACTCCCGTGCGGCGGTGACGACAGCGTGACACGTTGTCATTGTTGTGATCATTAATCAGAATATTTATACTGCAGGAGGAATACGATGAGCTGTACAGCCTCTCTTCTTTTTATTACGACTACACGCTTTTACTGGTAGGAACCTACTGGTTCCAGAGTGGTCCGTGAAACAGAAACACAGCTTCGCATATCGAATGCAATCAGACAGCACAGGAACCGCCCGAGTAATCAACAGTTCCCCATCAACCACGTGACAGCCTGGCGGGGGGGTGGGGGGAGACCCCCCCCCCGGGGGGAAGCCCTCCACGTGCCCCCCCCCTCCACTCCCTCCTGGCAGAAGTCCTCCAGAGGAGGGGGCCGGATTGTGGCATCGGCGGAACCGCGTGCGACCGACGGCGTGGAGAGTTCTTCATCCAGCAGCGGATAGACAATGGGCGATGGCGGTGACCCCGTCTGCGCAGCGTGCACAGCAAGCCGTCCAGGAGGATCGAAGGCTGCGACAGGGACACCGTGCAGGACAAACGCCGCACGTGTGCTGGGGAACGTGAGTGGCACGTTGTGCGTGCAAGCACGTGGAACTTGATCATTGTTTTTTTACCCTTCTATCTGGCAACAAAACTGACACATTTTGTTGCCAGATAGAAGGGTAAAAAAACAATTATCATATTTTTTACTGGCAAATGACGTTCCAATGGTGTAAACACGTGGAACTTCTTTCGCACCGCACGCGCTAAGCGAAGGTGCGGTGGGAAGAACAAACTTTAAAAAAAACAAGAATTCGTTTTTAATTCTAGATGATTTTAAAGTGTACAGCTCCCGATGGCTTCTTAACACGGGATGGAGAACGGCGCTCCAGACGTGCGCAGAAGCGCAACGGAACACAACTCGCACACAAAACTCAAAACAGCTGAAGCGGCAATTTCACAAACGCAGTCTCGAGTCACGCCTGGCCAAGCGTTGCCCCCCCCCCCGACCCCCCACAATGTAAAGGGGGGGGTGCACGTGGATTCGGCCCGGGCGATCGCCGCCGCGCGTGCCTTGCGGTCACAGCTCGGCGACGAAGACGAGCGGCGTGAACACGCGTATCAGCAGGAACGGAGCCAAGGTACACTGCCTCTTGGAAGGGCATTACGGTTCATGCCGAGCATACCTCCCCCCAGAGGCAGCAGAGACGTGATGATTAGGTGGGGGGGAGGGGGGGGGGGTCTCCGCAAGGACGATCATAATTTCTGAATGCCACGATCTGGACGCATCACAAATACTCAACATATTTGAGCAACGCTGCGCGCGCGTGTGGGTGTTTGCGCGTGTGGGTGTGCGCGCGTGAGTGCACGCGCGTGTGGGTGTTTGCGCGTGTGGGTGTGCGCGCGTGAGTGCACGCGCGTGTGGGTGTTTGCGCGTGTGGGTGTGCGCGCGTGTGAGTGTGCGCACGTGTGGGTGTGCGCGTGTTTGCGCGCGTGGGTGTGCGCCCGTGGGTGGGTGTGCGCACGCGTGTAGGTGTGCGCACGTGGGTGGGTGTGCGCACGTGTGCGTGTGTGCGCGTGAGTGCGCACGCGTGTGGGTGTGCGCACGTGTGTGTGCGGCGTGTGGGTGTGCGGCGTGTGGTTGTGTGCACGTGTGGGTGTGCGCGTGTGCGCCCGTAAGTGGGTGTGCACGTGTGTGCGCGTGTGGGGGCGCGCACGAGCGAGCGAGGTCACCTCGTGCAGGCCGTGCAACACGGCTTCGACTCCTGCGCACAGGTAAAGTTCAGTGGAAGGCCACGTCTGGACCTCCCCTAGGTCAATTCGGCCATAACAGAGTGCCGGGGAAGATGACGGTTGCCGGGCCTGGTTCTGGCCACACTGTTGAGTGTACCGAGCCGGACCTCAATAGGCGCTGGCCCGACAGCCCTCACCCCCAGTCTATATGGCTACACGGTGAATGTTTGCCGTCTTCTCGGTCTGCGTGCAGTGGTGGGGGCAAGAGTGGAGCGCAGGTGGAGCATTGTGCCACTCATCTCAGTCACTAAACCCCATGGGTGGAGTTTGGGGGAGGGGGGGGCACGGGGGAGGGGCAACGTACCCCCAAACTGGACACCTTTAAGACTTTACTTTCAGTAATTAACAATTAAGATTAAACATAAGTAAATAGATTTATATGCTCCCACGATTCCTAATGTGAGGGGTAAAGATAACCCCCCCCTCCCCCCAAATATAGAAGTCAGTCCGCCTATAGTGAACCTGTCCCACCTGGGGGTCTTGCCCCGTGACCTCCTTCACCACACTTCGCGTGGCATCAAAGTGCACCTAGCCCGACACAAGTGCTGTGGCGACATCGCAATCACCGTTGTTTGTGCCGAATATTTAGTTTTGCTGTTGCGATGTCGGTGGCCCAGGACCAACTCTTGCAAACGAGGCTCAAGCTGGTCTCTTTGAGCTCAACCTGGCAAAACCAAAAAAAACCAACAGTCTTCAACGCCTCCCATTCGTGCCAGTGGAATGCGACATCTGAACAGGTGACGGCCTCTGGCCTCCCTCGAGGCCAACTCAGCCGAAAAAGAAAGTACCTGCAGCAGAGGTGTGTTATTAAAATCAGCAAATGTAGAGGCGTGGCGATGGCCGTGAAGCAAAGGCCCTCTTCAATCGGCGCTCGCTGTCAGCAATGAGATGAATCGTCACGATGCAAGACCCCGATTCGATTCAATAATTTGATTGTAATTTTTTTGCACATTTTAGAGCGTGGATAAACGTAGCAGCCTCTTGCGGCTACAGGGGCCACCGTTCACGCATGGCGTTCTCTCTCTGTGCCATGTGCCTTTGTGTCCATGATGTTATTAGTCAATAACTTTGCATTGGATACTCCCAGTTGCATACAAATTGTTGACGAAACTTAATTGAGTCTTCCACGGCTTCTTGTCACAAGCCTATTATTTTCCGAGGTACAATAATATATTCAGTCTCTTGTTTTCCTCATTACGTCTCCAAAAAAAATCTAACCCTTCCTTTCTCAAATTATTATTAATCAGATTCCTTGATGTGCCTGCAATCCGTGATGCATTACGCGACTCAAATCATCTGCATGTCCAATTGAAAACACACACACCAATGCGCACACACTCCACCCCCCTCTATGCACGATTGTGAACTTAAGAATCAAGATTAACTGATGAATCGATGCGTTTTTACACAACTAATAATGAGGCTTAAACGTGTTTTTCGGTCAGTTCAATACACAGTAGGCTATCGCGACCAATACTATCCACAAGAGGATTTTTGGGTTTGATCACGTCAATGTATATGTGTCGTTAAACCCGCCACCACCCGACATATCCAATTAGCAAGGTTTGTCACGTAAACAGAACGTGCCAATTCGTTACTAGTACAGCACACCGGTGTGTTGGAGAGTAAATCCATATTATAGGGATTTTTGGGTTAGATCGCATAGATTGCGTAGATACGCGATCTAACCCCACCAAAAAACCTATATTATGGATGATATTGGTCGCGAAAGCCTACGTGTTTAACTAAATCCACAACATTTACAATTTGAGCATGTTTCCCCAGTAATTACAACGATCATCATCGGACAACCCTGGCTGTCGCCTAACAAAGATAGTTGTGATTACTGGTGAAACGTCGTTCTCACATGGGAAACGTTGTGGGTTTACTCTCCTACACACCGGTTTGCTGCTGTGCTAGCAACGAATTGTCAAGTTTCGTTTACGTGACAAACCTTACTAATTGGCTGTCGGGTGGTGGCGGGTTTAACGACACATTTAAATGTACTCGATCTAAGTCAAAAACCTCTATAATGCTGTATTTTGGCCGTTGTAAGTTATCCTGTACGAGTGGACACAAACATGTCTTGATATACAATGTTTGTTTAATTGCATCGAGGTGAACCCAAATGACCCCCTCTTCCTCCGGACACCCCCCCCCAAAAAAATAAAACCCGACAAATAACCATCCAGGCCGCAACAAACAATACCGCCGATTGCGCAACGCAAAAAAAAGCACGAGGGCGCATGCACACGCACGTGGCATTGAAATATTTATCTTGGTTTAGCCGACTTCCATCATCGACTCTGTTATGTTACACAGTGCGGGCACGACACCAAACTCAACACGCGGCGCAGAAATGCAAAACACCCCCCCCCCCCCCAACTTCATCCGCAGCTCCAGCCGCCCGCTACAATTATAGCTCCGGGTCGCGCCCGTGCCAGAGGCAACATTGTTGTTGTTGTTGTTTAACGAGATCGAGACGAGTGGATGTTTTCACTGCGAGGCTCGCGTGTTTTGCCGGTCGGTCGGAACAGGAGACGAGAAGAGATGGGCGAATCCAGCCCGGGACAACCGGGGAGGAGAGGGTGGCGGCGGTGAGGGAGGGGGGGTGGCGGGCGACCCCGTTTCCGACGGCTGGTCGACCGGCAGGACCCCCCCCCCTTCTCTGTCCCCACGGGCGACGTCCTCGCGTCCCGCAATTTGCATCAACAGGACACGCTTAGCACCCGTCACTTTTACACGCACGCGGGGGGGGGGCGGACGCACGCACGCGGGAGAGTGGACTTACTCGCATCGCACAACGCCGACGGTGCTCACCGTGCGCCCGACGCGCACCGCGTGGGGCTCACGGAGCGCGCCGGTAACGGCTCGCACATTTACAACCGCTCGAGCGCTTCCACGCTCCTTCGGCCAAATCTCACGTCGCTAACTACTAGCACCACTCGTTTACTAACACACAAAAAAGGCGCGATTTCAAAATCTCGTATTCCGTGAACGACGCGCAAACCAGGTGGGGGGGGGCGGGGGGTGGGGTCAGTACACGGCAGCGATCCGGTCTTGCCAAACACGCAGACGTCAAAGTCTGTGAATCACAATTAGCCATTCTAATCTAGTTCGATCAAGCAGTCAATCACGTCGCTCACGCCTAGCTATATTAAATATTAGTTTTTGCGGGTGCGCCGTTCTCCCCCAGCCCCTCTAATTAACTTCGCAAAACTATCATGCGCCCACATGACGCCTTCAACATGATGGTACCGTGATCTTGTTTAAGGCCATCATGATGGTCCCGTGGTCCTGTGTAAGGCCCTCGTGAAAGTCCTGTGGACTTGTTCAAGGCCTTAATGAAGGTCCCGTGGTCTTGTCTTATTAACTCCTTCACGAAGGTCCACGGGTCCTGTGCAAGGCTTTCACGAAGGCGGCGTGGTCTTGCTGGTGGCCTTCACGTACACACGGCCTTCGCGCTCCTCCACCCCGACCCCGAGCGCTCCCAGGAGGGGGCTCTGGGCGGCGCCCCGTCGCTCCAGCCTCCTGATGGCCTCCTGGTTCTCCACGTTGCCCTGGGTCAGGTTCCTCACGGCCAGCACGGCCCACTGCGCGATGACTGCAGTCGTCGGGGCGCGAGAAAGGAGGCGCGATGGCGCGTCGAGCGGTCAGGGGTCAAGGAGGTCAAGTGGAAAACGCATGCGTGCACGGACGTGTCTGTGCGTGCGTGCAAGTGCAGTAGGCCGGACAGAGCGGGAGGCCTACCCATGAGCAAAAGACAAGCACATCATCTTCATCATCACTGTGAGGGTTGCATAAACTGGTTATTTCACTTTTACGTTCTAATTGATTTAAAGTATTTGTATTTTGAGGATCCACGCATCTAGTTGTGCATGCGACAAATAGATTATTAAAAGTTCATGCTCCGGGATAACGATTTATGCTCCAGGCTAATGCAGCGAGAAAAACTGGACAAGCGAAACAGAACGAACGAGACAAAGACAACTGGCTGTGATTAAAACTTCAGACTGAACAACAACCGATTTTTTAATGCAGGGGTGCCCAAGGTTTTTGCTTGGACAGATGGATTGACGAACAAGCTAAGCCGCTGTGTGACCCACGGTGCCACCACTACTCCACAACCGTGAACCCTATCCGTGGCATTTTAAATAACCACTGGGGAGACAGATTATCGCTACAACTACCTACAACTACCTCACCTGGTATGAAGGAGGTCGTGTACATTTGGGGTTTGCGTGTCTCTCTCTCTCTCCGTGGCCGCGTGGATTTTTCTCTGGGTCTTTCGGTTTTCCCCTCCACATTTAAAATCAACGTCACGCGTTTAGAGTATTTGGCTGGTAAAAATGTACACACGAGAAGCCACTTTCTTGAGCTATATGTGGCCAAGTCACTTCTGAAAAAAGATCTCTATAGCTCAGTGGGCCTTACCTGATCAAATAAAAAATAGTTTATTAGTTATATCCGAGCTATATAGATGATACGGCTGATGTTAACATGCACAATAAATGACAACAGTCGTTTTTTTATTTATCCAGGAAATCCTCACTGGCTCTGAAGTGCTGTCGGTTGGATCGCGTGGGTTTTATTTGGGCACATTCCCACTTCCCCCGGCTTGAAAAACACCGCTTAAAAGAAAAAAAAGTGGCCAACGAGCCCAACGGAGGTTAAGACAAAGGTGCAGGCCTGCAACGGCCACCGCTGGCGGAGAGGACATCTGTGGAAAAGAGTTCATCGGATTCCTCCCGTCTAAATAAAAATATTTCGATAAAGAAAAGGTTACCAGAGATGACTCACCAGGAACGAAATTATGAAAACACTTTAATTTCTACAGCGGGTGATCCCGTCATGTGACGGTTTGCACGCCGGACTTGCAATCCAGAGGACGCGCATCGACCAGATATCCTGGCATGCGTGGCAGGTAAAACGACGCAGCAAGTTTCTCAAATCCCACCGCCCAACAGCATAAATGGGTGAAGCATGGTCGATCGTCCGGTCAGCCTGGCACGAGTCGTGCAAAATACCCTCGAACAACTCCCTCGGGCGGAGGCCATTCGGCAAGCGGCGGCGAAATTTAAAAACAGATTTTCTGAAGGCAAAGCCCTCGTGGTCTCGAGCAAAATCTCTGGGATGATCTCGACTCCGAACGTCAACAGGATATTTGATGATGGCCCTGCAAAGACAATTGGCTACCCTTGGTAGGACTCATCCTCAATGCAAATTAAACAAACGAATGCTGTTCTCGAGGAAACACGAGCCTGCAACCTTCTCCACTTGTAATTGTTTCTGCGGAGTCTCAGCAACTTGAGAACATTTTATTGCAACATGTGGGAAGCGCAATTTTATTTCGTATTATTGATACCCGCTGCATCCCTACGCACGTGGCTATTTCTGTAGGACCGCTTCTCGTGTTTATGTTGTAGTCCTATTCCCCGCTCGTCCGACGGGCACCGTTGGCTACGTATGGCACGAAAGAAGTTCAACATACACACAGTAAAACCTTGGCTTGCGAGTAACTTGGTCTGCGAGTGTTTTGCAAGACGAGCAAAAATGTAAAATTAATTTGATAAACGAGCGAGGTCTTGCAACACCAGTAGTACGTGTATACGCTTTGTCTGCCGAGCATCACGTGATCACAACTGATACACGAGTGCTTTGGGTTACAAACACGTTTCCAGAACAAATTATGCTCGCTATCCAAGGTTTTACTGTACATACATACAGGAAGGAACTGCAGGGCTGCTCCTTCACCAATACCCTGTAGGTCACTGCGACAGGATGCTCGAATCAAAGGGTCGGCTGGCAAGAGTGGGGCCTACCCACCGCACACCTACACTACGGGCGTCTTCATGTAGACAATCAAGTGTAGGTACCGCAGATACACGGTCCCCAGCAGCACTCACAAACACCCAATAACAAAGGCAGCTGCTACATAAAATGGGAATAATACTGAACCCCCCCTCCCGCTACGCGCACGTGGACACAGACACGCGGGCACACCCATGCACACACAAACACAACCAAGGACGCAGGGAGAGAGAGAGAAAAAAGCCCAAAATGCTGTGGAAATGAAAAACGGAAAACTTGTACACAAGCACAGGGGGGGTGGGGGGTCACGATTCGGGTTGAAAAGAGCGAGCGAAAGAGAGAGAGAAAATATACCCCCAAAAAACCTGAGTTCCAATTTCAATGCCAGGGACCCATTGAGGTGGCTCCTACCCCTCCCCTCCCCTCCCACCTGGTCGTGGAAATTTGTGAAATGTAAAAAAAACGTCAAAAAATGTACGTGCCGGGTTTACATTACGACAGCCTCTACATTACAGACAGTCCCGAGTAGGGGAAGATCGCCCTGTCAGTAAGACGGGCCGACGTTAACTACCTCGCCTGCTGAATATTTGGAGTCTGCGTGCCTCTCACTATCATCATCATCACGGTGGCTAGGAGACATTAACTCCCTCGCCTGGTATACAGGAGGTCGTGGGTTCGATCCCGACCCTGAGGTCTGCTGCTGTATATTTGGAGTTTGTGTCTCGCTCTCCCCAGGGTCGTGCGGATTTTTCAACCATTCAATTGCCCTGCTGCAGTCCAGCCAAGGGGAACCCCTCCCCATCCTCCTCAGCGGCAGCTGTCCCTGCGTGGCACAAAAAGGTGTACACAGCACCGGACATTAGCCTGCCATTGGGAGACCACAACAAGCAAGAAAACAAGACCGGAGAGAGAGACTTCGAGTGGAAGTGTGAAGACGAAACGCGATTATTCATGCCAAGGCTGCGGGGGGAGGCAAGGCGGGGGGGGGAAGCCGTTCCGTGGAACCGCGGGAAGGGGAACGGCGGGGGAGGGCGGGCGTGTCGTTACTACGAGCGAGTAAAAGTTAAGTGAAAAAAAAGAGTTAAACGGCAGCGAGGTTTTACGGGAGACAGACGCGAACGACAACTCCCCCCCCCCCACCCGTTCATCTCGCCGCCGTCTCCCGGTGACAGCGGCGTTACCGCGGGCGGGCGGGCTGGCGGGCGCGTAGGGGTGTGGGGGGGGGTGGCCGGGCACGCGGTCCCAGGCTTTTACTGCTAATAACTTTAACGATAACGTGCAACACAAATGAAATAAAAAATAAACCAACTAAAATAGCGCCTTTCTACCCACGCGTTAAACCATCTCCCACCGCTCCCTCCTCCGCCCCCCCCCGTAGCTGACGGCTTTTGCCGAGCACAGGGCCCGAAGGCCAAATACGCCAAGAGGCCAGCCACAACCAGCACTTATGTATGTTGTTGTTGAACTTTTTTCGCACCGTACGTAACCAACCGTGCTAAACGGAGGTGCGGAGGAAGCACAACAAACTAAACACAAAAAGCGGTCCTAAAGAAATTAGTTTTCAATCTAGATTTAACAAGTGCGTAGCTCCTGTGGCTTCCTAATATCGTAAGGAAGAGGCACGCTCCAGACGGCCGCAGAAGTGCAATCTGAAAAGCGCGCGATGCGGTGACCGTCTTTGGCTGTGTTCTCACTCGGCAAATGGACCACTTCTGTTAAGAGTTTCACGAGATGAGCGTTCATTGAAAGCGTGGCGGCTCTCGTCACGATCCATATCCACGCGGCTTCGTGGATTTTTTTTCTCTTATTCCGAAAAAAAAACCACACCGCGCCAGGAGACGTGGACACCGATCAGCTGGTGAGTGCTCGCGCAAAAGTGTTTTGCCCAACGGTGAGTGGTTGTGTGGTGCGCGCGTGACGCGTGAGTCCATGGCTATCCTGCGGTGATCGGATATAAGTGGCGAATGAGCGTGCGGTGAGCGAATGTGGCGAGCGGAGTATGTGGCGAGCAAGTGAGCGGTGAGCGGGTGCGCGGTGTAACGGATGTGTGGGTGTAACGAATGTGTGGTGAGTGGGTGAGCGAGTGAGCGGGTGAGCGAGTGTGCGAGTGCGCAGTGAGCCTGTGTGCGGTGTAATGAAGGTTAGGTGAGCGAGTGCGGTGAGTGAGTATGCAGTGAGCGAGTGTGCGGTGTAATGAATGTTTGGTCAGCGAGTGCGGTGAGTATGCAGTGAGCGAGTGTGTGGTGTAACGAGTGTGCGGTGAGCAGGTGAGCGAGTGTGTGGTGTAACGAGTGTGTGGTGAGAGAGTGTACCGCCCCGTTGCCGTGGTGGTGGCGGCGGCTTGCGCTGCCACCACCACCACCTTCGCTCTCCCGAATCCGCAAGTCACAACCAAACTGCGGTAAGGCCACGCGAATCTCCGCGCAGCTTCACAAAACACCGCCGCTCGGCGCTCAAACAAATTGGGTGAAACGAGCACCGATGTTAAAAATGTAAAACAAACAGCGGTGGTGACACGAGGCAACGTCTCCGCTAAGTGGTTTCGAGCCGTTAAGTTTTTTTCGGCTCGAGTTTTTTTTTATTGGATTGGACCAATGAGTTGAGATCAAAGATCGCCCCCCCCCCCAAAGCTATGCGCAGCGGCCTTCATAAACTTTAATAGCGTCTGTGCTCCCCCCTCACCACCTCTCCCATGCAACCCCCACCGCGCACGACTTTCACGAGCTTTCAACTCTCACGGACTTCCCTGGCGAGGGGCACCCCGGCCCTCAAGCCCCGAGCTCGCAAACTCCC